CATAGACTCCACCCTCCAAACTAACTATTCTTTTGTGGGGAACCATTGTTGCCAATCTCCAGGTGAGGGCTGGAGATCACTCAAAATTACAACTGTACTTTAGGTAGCAGAGATCAGTTCCTCTGGAGAAAATGGTGGACTCAGTCTCATTATACCCCGCTGAGGTTGTCACAGCAAATTGACACTGAGTGTCCAAGGCCGGGGGACCTGCCCATAGCCTCTTTCTAGAGGCTGCTGTATTTATTTCCACAACGGGCCTTTTTCCTAGTACTGAATAAGACCATTGGTCCATCTAGTCCAGCATTGCATACTCTGACTGGCAGGGGTTTGTTTTAACTGGGCATCTTCTGCATGCAAGCATGTGCTCTCCCACAAAGATATACCCTCCATAACCCCTGGGCAGTGCTTGTCCAGAATCTGAATATGGAGCCACTCACACTGTAGGAAAGAAAACCAGTCTTGTCTTAAGCCTGCAGGGATGGTGCAGGAAAGAAACCTGAATAAATATTTGCATCTTGTTGTATAGAGAAGGAACTGATGGCTACAGTACAGGCAGTGTGTAGTTTGGTGAGGAGTATCAATTACTGCGTTGGACTAGGAACTAGAAGATCCAGGTTCGAATCCCCACGCTGTCATAAAGCTTTGGTGGGTGTCCTTGTGCCAGTCACTGTCTCTCAGCCAGAGCTGCCACATATGATAGTTGTGAGGATACTGTGGGGAAGGGAGAACCATGTATGCCATCCTGGACACTGGACAAGTGGCGGAATAAAAAATGTATTAGATAGGCCAGGCTAGACTGATCTTGTCAGAATGTGGAAGCTAAGCAGGGTTTGGCCCTGGCTAGTATTTGGATGGGAGACCTCCAAGGAACACCAGGGTTGTGACATGAAGGCAGGCCGTGGCCAACCCCCTCTGAATGTCTCTTGCCTTGAAAACCCTACGGGGTTGCCATGAGTCAGCTGTGTGACTTGACGGCACTTTCCACCACCAGATAGATTATGTGTAGGACTTGTCCCATTCTGGTCTGCCGCAGTCAGGGCTATTTTTGGGCGGAATGGAGTTCCGGCTGGCTCCCGAGTTGGCCACGCCCAGCAGGAACTCATTAGCATAATAGGCCACACCCAACAGCAGAAACTCATTAGGGTTGGCTACATTAGGGGTGTGTGGCCTAACATGCAAAGGGTTCCTGCTACAAAAAAAGCCCAGGGTTTTGACAACAAACAAAGTAAACAGAATAAGAAGCAAAAGGTGGGTGTGGTTGGATGACCACTTGGAGATCACTCAAAATTACAACTGTTCTTTCGGTAGCAGAGATCAGTTCCTCTGGAGAAAATGGTGGACTCAGTCTCATTATACCCCGCTGAGGTTGTCACAGCAAATTGACACTGAGTGTCCAAGGCCGGGGTACCTGCCCATAGCCTCTTTCTAGAGGCTGCTGTATTTATTTCCACAACGGACCTTTTTCCTAGTACTGAATAAGACCATTGGTCCATCTAGTCCAGCATTGCATACTCTGACTGGCAGGGGTTTGTTTTAACTGGGCATCTTCTGCATGCAAGCATGTGCTCTCCCACAAAGATATACCCTCCATAACCCCTGGGCAGTGCTTGTCCAGAATCTGAATATGGAGCCACTCACACTGTAGGAAAGAAAACCAGTCTTGTCTTAAGCCTGCAGGGATGGTGCAGGAAAGAAACCTGAATAAATATTTGCATCTTGTTGTATAGAGAAGGAACTGATGGCTACAGTACAGGCAGTGTGTAGTTTGGTGAGGAGTATCAATTACTGCGTTGGACTAGGAACTAGAAGATCCAGGTTCGAATCCCCACGCTGTCATAAAGCTTTGGTGGGTGTCCTTGTGCCAGTCACTGTCTCTCAGCCAGAGCTGCCACATATGATAGTTGTGAGGATACTGTGGGGAAGGGAGAACCATGTATGCCATCCTGGACACTGGACAAGTGGCGGAATAAAAAAATGTATTAGATAGGCCAGGCTAGACTGATCTTGTCAGAATGTGGAAGCTAAGCAGGGTTTGGCCCTGGCTAGTATTTGGATGGGAGACCTCCAAGGAACACCAGGGTTGTGACATGAAGGCAGGCCGTGGCCAACCCCCTCTGAATGTCTCTTGCCTTGAAAACCCTACGGGGTTGCCATGAGTCAGCTGTGTGACTTGACGGCACTTCCACCACCAGATAGATTATGTGTAGGACTTGTCCCATTCTGGTCTGCCGCAGTCAGGGCTATTTTTGGGCGGAATGGAGTTCCGGCTGGCTCCCGAGTTGGCCACGCCCAGCAGGAACTCATTAGCATAATAGGCCACACCCAACAGCAGAAACTCATTAGGGTTGGCTACATTAGGGGTGTGTGGCCTAACATGCAAAGGGTTCCTGCTACAAAAAAAGCCCAGGGTTTTGACAACAAACAAAGTAAACAGAATAAGAAGCAAAAGGTGGGTGTGGTTGGATGACCACACTTCTGGTAACATGGGGGTGCGGCCTAATATGTTAATGAGCTGCTCTGTCAGGGGCGTGGCCTAATATGCTAATGCATTCGTGCTGTTGGGTGCTAATGAGTTCCTGCTGGGCTTTTTCTACAAAAAAAGCCCTGGCCGCAGTGATTGAGCAAAATCCCTAAGTTGCCTGACTGAACACATTTCTCTTGTATTTGCTTTCAGATGTGGACGTTCTTCAAAGACTGGGCCTGGTGGGGCCAAAGCCATTGGGTGCGGGGTCATCTTCACGCCCTGTTCCTCCGGGCGTCATCCCATTCAAGTCTGGGGTCATCTTTACCCAAAGAGCACGTATCGAAGTGCCTGTTGGCAGAATTATTCCCGCCACCTTTGGCACGGACTTGGCTCTAGTGTTGAGCTTGTGCTCTCATCGAGTCAACAGCGCTTTTTTGTTCACCATCAAGAGCAGAAAGAAGAAGCTACAGCTGGGTGTGCAGTTCATTCCAGGGAAGATCATAGTTTACGTCGGCCACAAGCACTCCGTATATTTTGATTACAATGTCCATGATGGTCAGTGGCACAATCTGGCCATTGACATCCGAGGCCAGGTGGTTACCCTGTTTACCTCTTGTGGGAAGCAAAAAGTACACGCGGATTTGCATCTTAAAAAAGATGAGGCGTTGGACCCAGAAGGGTCTTTCCTTTTAGGCAAACTCAATCAACACTCGGTACAGTTTGAAGGCGCCCTTTGCCAGTTTGATATTTATCCTTCCGCCAAGGCAGCTCATAATTACTGTAAGTACCTGAAAAAACAATGCAGGCAAGCGGATACTTACCGGCCGATTCTTCCACCTCTTGTCCCACTTCTGCCCAAAGACGTAAGAACTTCTGAAAGGACTCCACCACAATCAGACCTTTTCTTTCTGGGCCTGAAGAATCTGACCACTGTGATCCCCCCATTATCGCTCTTCAAGGCCACCACCCCTCAGAGGAACAGGAGATTGGTTGCAGCATCCGCCACCATTGTGCCAGCTAAACCACCAACTCTGCCACCAGCTACCAAAGCTGCAAAGAATATTGTGGCCTCATCTCTCGTCCTGCCAAACACTGAAGTTCAGCTGACTGCCCAAACCCTCCATCGGACTACCACAGTAGGTCTTCAAGCTTTCACAGTAGCTCATCGGACTACCACTGTAGCCCTTGGAGCATTTCGTGCTACTTCCAATGCAAGCTCGGAGAAGCCTCGTTTGCCCACCACCAAAAATGTTCCTTCTGCCTTCCCCAGCTCAACTACAAGTTCCACTGCAGTCATCGACAAGAAGGAGTTGGAAAAGAAGACCAAAAAGATGATCAACCAAAGCCACACCATCAAGCCTTTTCCGATGGCTAGCACTGCAAAGCCAGCGATGAAGAAGGCTGAAAACTCATCCAGGAGCCTCCTTCCGGTGACCATAAAACCCAAGCTGGAGAACACAACCAAGGATCCTATACCAAAGAAGTTATTATCTTTGCCAGCACTGAAAAAAACAGATTCTACCATCATTGCTGTTCCATATACCAAGCCGACTTTTGGAGCTTATCCTGCCATTAGAATGAATGTGCAAAGCATCAACTTAACAACTATGGCTGCCACAGATGGGTATCAGCTGTTTGATCCCATTGGGCCTACTCTCTTTCCATTTGTTATGGGGCTTCCGGGACCTAAAGGCGACCAAGGTCCTCCGGTAAGTCAGTTTTCTTCATGTTTTCAGCTCAAGGAATGTGTGTGGTGCAACTGTGTTGCTACTGGTCCCTGGATCATTTCTGTCTTTGAAATAGAGTCTGGGCTGTCTCACATAAACATCAGTGATAAAACTGTGGCTGGACTATTGGAAAAAGAAATATCTGCTCGTAGCAAATTAACATATCAGGGAGAAAAGTATGAGATGAAGGTAGGCCCTTTCCCCAGATTGGCTGGATGATATGAAGGCAGCTCTCTCCTCTACATGTGCTGGGGGTTATAGTGGGCATGTTTGGGCTTTTTCTACAAAAAAGCCCTGTTGTTCACTATATTCCAGCTAGCTATGAGGCTTTTTCTACAAAAAAAGCCCTGTCCCAGCTAGCTATGGAATGAATGTTCAGTTGTGACAATAAATCTTGCAAATTTGGAGAATTCTCTTGTGAGAATGTAATATTTGCTGTTCTTCCACATTTTCATTTTGACTCTGGCTAGCCCAGAGCCCTTTCTTTCTTGTACCCCTGAAGTGCCTTATGAGTATTTTCCTTAGGTCTGTTTCTCCCTGTGCTCATCTTTTGCCTTGAAAAGTCCATGTGTCCTACTGTTTATGTAGACCAAGACTGTTACTGTTCCTTTGAGATGGGAAAAGTACAAAACAGAGCCAGGAACGTATGGAAGGAAAGTGCACAGTAATTTTACGAGTTCTGACTATAGGATCTTGCCCACAGCTCCCTGTCCAACCTATTGGACAGTGCCAGTGACGTCCTTCACCTGCTGATACCATTTTATATCTTTTGTTTCAAAAGTGTTTCCAGCTCTTTTCTGACATCCTTAACATTTTTCTTCAGAGGCTGTGCTGGGGCACACATTTCAAGAAATGAAATAAAGGACTATCTTGTGGCAGAAAGGTTAGCCCTGTCCTCTTCTTTGGGATATTGGTACTACAGTTAAGTTAGCCAGTGAAACAACAGCCCCCTGGTCGAGCCCCTTCTGTCTGGAATGGCTCTTGCCCAGGAGTATTCATTATGCTCTGTCATGTCCAGTGCTCACGGGGTGGTTGGTCTCCATTTAATGAAATGAGTTCACCTATCCCTAAAGCGTCATGTACATAAGAAGTGTTCTGTAAATGGTTAATCTTCCTTTTGCCAGAAAGCAATGGCAAAGTTCACTTGGTCTTCACACCACATTATTTCATCTTGCACAGAAATACATTTTCCATGTGTTCTGTTCTGGGCTCAGCTAAATGAATCATGCTTCTGTTTCACTGTCTGACAACTTGTAAAATCCTCCTTAACTGAGTTCTGGGGGAGTTTCACGGCATCCCCAGCTGTATTGCAGTAGGATGAATGGCTTACTTAGCCAAGACTTCTCGTTGTCTGTTGCTATGCAAGTACTGAGATTCCGTTAAGGAGAGGCTATAGTATCATCAGTCTGGAATGAGTCCAGTCAGATGCCGCAGTCAGACCTGTCTCCCCCAAAGAAAGATGGTCCTATCTCTATAGCTCGGGAAGCCTAGTGGAGGAGGGGAGAGAACCATGGATGCTGCCCTGAGCTCTGTGGGGGGAGGCTGGGATTAAAAAAGTAATAAGAGATTCTTAAGAGCAGGGGTCATTTCCTGCAGGAGCGCACAGGAGTGGAGTTCCGGCAGTAAAGAGCCCAGGGGGCGGGCACATGCAACAAGCTCCACCCCCTGCTCCTAGCAGCCCTTAGTCAGAGCAAGAAGCAGCCAGGTAAGCTGCAGAACTCCCCCCGCCCCCCCAGTCTAAAACAGTCCAGTGGCACCTTTAAGACCAAATTTTATTCAGGTACAAGCTCTCCCTCCTCTGCGAGGACAGATCTACACGTCCCGTCCCCCCCAATAGCTAGCAATCCAAAACAGTCCAGTGGAGCCTGAGCGGTGGGTGTTGCCTTCTGAAACACTTCCGGTGATGTGGGGGGTTGGCATATGCAAATAAGTTATGCTAATGAGTTTTGCTAATGACCTCCTGCACCTCTTTTTCTACGAAATGACCCCTGCTTAAGAGCATAGATAAGAGGCACATTTGTGGGCAGGTTAGCTAGAATAATATTGAGTCAGGGGTGGTTTTAGGGGTTGGTCCCGTTGGGCAGTTGGCTAGGATCCACTACTCCAGAGAGAATCCCTCATCACTCATTGCTCCTCTTCTGCTACCTGGCCACCCATCCTGGCATGGCAAGGGTTTATTTATTATTTATTTATTTGTTCTTTAGATTTGTATCTCGCCCTCCCCGAAGGCTCAGGGCGGCTAACAAGGGCATAAATGCCAGATTAAAACAATAAGAACAGTATAAAAATACAGTCATACAATATAAAACAATTAATAAAATATCGGTGCTCCAATACTCACTTAAATTCATAAAAACCAAGATGGTGTTCTGGAGATGTTATAACAGAAGAACAGCAGTATATGTCTCCTCCTGCTCGGGTCCCTCTCCACCTGCCATCAGTGGGGAGAAGAACGGGTGGATGCTTGTTGGCTTGGCTGCCACCAATGGCCATTTCCCTCCTGAGTGGCTGTCCAGCTCCTCCCACTCCTCACTAGGCATAGATGTCAAAGTTGTACTCCATGCACTGGCTCCATTGTTGTCAGGACCCTCAGCAACAATGGAAGCACACACTTGCAAGAAGGTTTTACTTTATTGAAGCTGGAGATGCATGGACAGGAACACTGTTAGGAATGAGGGGTGAACGATGCGCAAAACAGTTATAGTACATTCATATGACCAGTACCCAATTACTATGGTTCCTGCACGCGCCATCAGGCCTGGGAACTAACTGTTACCCAAAGCAAAACAATTACGAGCTTCCCACGGCTCTGCCTGCCTAAAGCCAAAGCAATGATCTAAGCGACTCCTTCAGCAGCCTTGAGAGATACGCAGTGCAGTTTGCAGGAGAACGGCAATTAACCATAGGGAAAGGTATGCGCATCTGTGCATAGGAAGGTATGCGCATGTGCACAGGGAAAAGAACATTTTGGCAGGTTGCTGACAATTGTCCTCCACTTGGTAGCAGCCACCACTCACTGGAGTGGAAGTTACCAGCGGGCACGGATGAATGTTGGAGCTTGGCAAGAAGTAAGAGTGGAGGGCTGCCACTCTGAATTGGGGTCGTGACAGCTGAGCGGGGCACCAGAAGTTATTTTTCCATAGATGCTCGGCATCTGGCCTGTCAAGGCTTGTAGTTTAAATGGGGTTACATCTTGCGGAGCTGAGTTTGTCAGTTGCGAGGGGAAATCTGGAGAATTTGCAAGGAGAAAAAATGGTCCTGAGGGTTGTGGGGAAGAGAGCCGGAGGAAAGCATATGATGATTTCTGGGAACTCTTCAGACGTGTGATGTGGGGATAGGAAAATCTCTGCGAGGCACACCCGGAGAGGCTCCTGTCTCCTGTCTTCACCCGAAAGGGCTCCTGTTTTCACAAGGAGTCACAGTGAGATTGGCAACGGGAGATTCTTTGCTGAGTCTGCATAAGTCTGTTGTTTTACTGAAGAACGTGAGCTGTTCAAATGGACAAGTGCTAGTTGGTTTCCCCCCTACTGACTTCCAGTATGAAGCCTCACCTGTTTTTTCTGAAGAAGCAGTTATATGGCAGAGGAATTTAATTCTTCCTGCTCTCGAGAACTAGTGGCATTATTTACTTCAGTGTATAGCCGAGTACCTCTGCAGGAGGGGTGGTTTTTGCATGCATCTTGATTTCTCATCATTTGTTCGGTCGATCAGTTTCTGTGTTACTTGTGTCCGTTGGCTGTCACAATATGATTCTAATATACAAAAGACACATTATCTTGCATAAAAATGTATATAAATGGAGCGGGTGAAATTCTTATTCTTAAACTGGGTGGTCCCTTATATACTTTACAGACAGGATCTAGAAATAGTTAATAAGAATGTTTCTGGCTACGACAGCAAACAGCGCTGTTTCATATTAAGTGAATGTATTTGTGTCTGGGGAGAGAAGGCTGCATGGTATAGCCTGATCTCATCAGATCTCAGATGCTAAGCAGGGTTGGGGCTTGGATGGGAGACCTCCAAGGGAAGGCCCTGCAGTGGAGGTAAAATAGCAAACCACCTCTGCTTCTCAATGGCCTTAAAAGCGGCTCCACTGCTTGGGTTGCCATAAGTATGTTGCAGCTTGCAAGAACGTATGTAAATTTGTGTCCAACTGTAGAGCAGGATTGTCGAACTCATTTGTTATGAGGGCCGGATCTGACATAAATGAGACCTTGTTGGGCCGAGCCATGTGTGTCATAAAAGGTAATGCCAGGTAGCAGAGATATAAACTTCATAAAGGACACAAACGCAAAGGTGTTTTTTTTTAACTTAAAATAAAAACATGCTTAAAACATTAGCAGTCTTGCAATATTTTGTTTATTTAACAGTGTCTGATAACTTACACCCCTTGTTCTGAATTATTGCATCAAACCGTCTCTGCTGTTGCAATCCTGAGTATGCTGTTCAGGTGTGCATCTGTAAGCTGCAAACCTACAATGACGCAGCAACAGCAGAACTGGAAGAAGCAGCAGAAGACAGTCAGTTCCACTGCAGGCCTGATAGAAGCCCTCCGGGGGCCTGATCCGCCCCCCGGGTCGCATATTTGACGCCCCTACTGTAGAGCATAAATCCTGGCACAGATACATAGATCTAGCCCAATGTTGTCTATTCTGACGGGCAGTGTCATTCACTGCTTGGTGACTTGCTGCTGGGAGTGTGATGCAGAGCTGCTAATAATGAAGTACAGGACAATACTGTTTCTTGAGTAAATCTTTAATCCAAAAGGCTTTTAGTTCAGTGCAGGACAGGCTATTCCAGGCTAAATGCATATAGCTTGGAAGTAAAGAGCATTCAGCAATGCGTAATAGCGGAAGAGGCAGGGGTCATTTCTTGCAGGAGCGCACAGGAGCGGAGCTCTGGCAGTAAAGAGCCCAGGGGGGCGGGCACATCCAACAAGCCCCACCCCCTGCTCCCAGCAGCCCTCAGTCAGAGCAAGAAGCAGCCAGGTAAGTTGCAGAGCTCCCCCGGTCCAAAACAGTCCAGTGGCACCTTTCAGACCAAGTTTTATTCAGGCACAAGCTCTCCCTCCTCTGTGAGGACAGATCTTCTGCATGCCCCCCCCCAATAGCTAGCAATCCATAACAGTCCAGTGGAGCCTGAGTGGTGGGTGTTGCCTTCTGACAGGGCCGGATTTAGACTTGCTGAGGCCCTAAGCTATACAAAACCCAGAGGCCCCCTACTGTTTTAAATTACATCAGCTGGTCTCAGAAAAATTTAAAATATATACGCCTTTTAAATATTTGAAATCATTTTTTATATTGTGTTTTTATTCGAGGCCCCAGCAGATTGTGAGGCCCTAAGCTGTAGCTTATTTGGCTTATGCGTAAATCTGGCACTGCCTTCTGACACACTTCCGGTGATGGCAGGGTGTGTGACATATGCAAATAAGTTATGCTAATGAGTTATGCTAATGAGCTCCTGCACCTCTTTTTCTACAAAATGACCCCTGGGGTGTGTAAATCTTGTACCAATGAGTTATTCTTCCTATGGGAACAGGAGTTTTCTAAGGATATCCTTATTTTTAAGTTTCAAATGTCAGAGGAGATACAGAGGGGATCCGGACCGTTAGGAAGCACAGACAAACACCCATGGCCGGTTCGCCTAGAGCGCAAGCCGGCCGGTAGGGTGCGGGAGGAGAGGCAGGGGCGCCAACGCCTGGCCAGCAGCTGGGAGGAGCGGGCTGGGAGGAGCTCTGCTGCCCGGCTGTAGGAGGAGGACGCGGCAGTGGCGGGGTGGGCAGGGCGCGGCGCTTTCCTCCCCGCCCCCCTGATGCCCCTGCTGCCCCCGCTGCCCTTCTCGGCCTCTCCCAACCGGCTGCCCTCTTCCTCCCCCCTCCTTGCACAAGGAAGCAGGCTGGGGGGTTGCGGGCGGCGGGGGGTTTGCCGTGGAGCCGCAAGCGGTGCCCCCCACCCTGCGCGCCAGGCTCTCCTCCTCCCCGCCCGCTGCCGCTGCTGTCGCCGTCTCCGTCGCCGCCTTTCTCGGCCTCTTTTGCACGCCAGCAGCAGCAGCGGCCGGCGGGCGTGGCCCCTTCTCAGGCGTTTTCCTCCTCCCCGCTCGGCCGCCGGCCATCGCCGCCTTTCTCGGCCTCTCTTGTATGTCGGCGGCAGCAGCGGCCAGCGGGCGGGTGGGAGTGGCCTCTTCTCCGGTGCGGAGTCGCCCAAAGACGGCGCTTTCTTCCTCCCCGCCCGCCCGCCACTGCCTTTCTCGGCCCTTCTCCGGCGCTCTCCTCCCCCCCGTCACCTTCTTTCTCTGCCTCTCCTGCCCGGCGGGGGGGGGGGGCGGCTGGTGT